CAACGCGACGATCATGTTGAGAAGTGTCTGGAGGTCTTCATCCCACCAGTAAGTCAAGACGGCAACCGCCTGGCGCACACACAGAAAGGTGGAGAGAGCGGTATGCAGGGGCACGGATGCATCAGGTATGACTAGGGATGACTAGGGATACCTGCTTCTTGCTCCCGCACACACCGTTTAACACGGAAATGGGCATGCCCTCGCTTGAGCTGTACCTGGCGACACACACACACACACACACACGTACACACACGTTGTGGGTGCATGCAGGTGTGTTTATGTGTGTACTGGTCTTCTTTGAGCTGCATTCCTATGGGGTTTTCCTCCTCGAGCTTCTGGATCGGGCCAACCTACACAGACACACGCGTCTGTAGGTTGGGGATGCGTCAATGTGTCGGCACACACGCACCCAGACATTCAACGCCACACGCCAGTATTTGAGTAGGGCGCACAGCTTGGGGACGATTTCGATGTCAGATGATTTCGACACGAACTCTGTGACACACACACACACACACATCGACGTGTGTCCATCCGGTCTCTCTGTGTGTGGCGGTTTGTGTGTACCGACCGTTTTTGCTGAGTGTGTATGAGTCCGGCAGTTTTGGGAGGCTCTGGAAGGTTTGTTCGAGTTTGTGGCGGCTACGCTCTCTCCAGACGGATGCCGTCCGTCTGATGTCGCCGACTGACAGACACGTAGACGCATACAAAGACACACACACACGCAAAAGATAGAGGCCATCCATATGGGCTGTGTGTCCGTATGCGTGTGCGGACGGACTCTCTATGAGTTTGGTGACGATGACTTCGATGTCGTCCTCGGTGGGGAAGTTGGGCAGCCCAATGTGTTCACTGCACAGCCCCCCACACGCACACACATCCACGTACGCAAGCTGCCTGCACACATGTGGCGAACGTGTTGAAGCACTTACACACTACTGTGCACGGCGGACGAGAATCCGGACGGTTCTGACAACACAAACACACACGGGCGGATAGGTGAGTAGGCGAATGGATGGATTCCCCACTTCCTGTCCTCGCTGAGTCACGGTGAGGGGGGCGGTGAGGCGGTGCTGCTGCTGCTGCTGCTGGGCGACTGGGTGGACACAAACAAACATACAAACAACGAAAGAGTGTGTGTGTCTGTTTCTCTGTGTGGGTCTGACTGTCTGGCCACAAGTAGGTGAACGTACCTGCCGCTGTTCCAACTCCCGTATCTTGGCTTTGAGGCCG